CATCGTACCCACCTCCTCATAGCCTCTCCTGGCGTTGCTACCGACTTGAATGAGTCTTGGACAGCCGTCCAAGACCACCTTCGCTCTTCTTCTCCCACCTTAGCTAGGCTGCAACAAACGTTGCGTTCATTATGGTAAGTGTGTCGATGTAATGCGTATACGGTCCTGATGCTTAAGTGTCATTTCCAGATTTTATATTGCTCAGTGCATTCAGCATCTGGCTTTCTTTGCCAGGCGGTTCTGCCTGTGTGCCCAGCTTACCAGGACTGTCACTCAGCCAATACCTCGTACTGCTGGACTTGGATATGACTATAGAGCTGTTTCAATTTGGGTTTTCTACCCGATTTATTGCATGTATGGACACAGGTGAGTATTCGCATATATGGCTATTGTATATGCACACAGAGGATCTCGAAACTGAGGTAACATATACTTGTAATATTCTATTAATTTATCGTATTTTTTGATGCTGTATATGGTGGTGTGCGCCGCTGCCGTCGAAGACAATGAGCACGGCATTCACAACGGCGACGACGCTCGATAGGAGCGTCTAAGTGACGGCGCGTATATGTCAGAACCATCAAACAATATTTATGTATTTAATGCAATTTATTCCGTATTTTTACGACTACATGCAAGTGTTATAGCTGTGCTCATCGTCGGCGACAACAACGACGGGTCTACCGACGAGGCGCCGGAGAGGCGGGATGCAGCCCCGAAGAAGCGGCGCGCCTGCGTCACTGACCCGCGGCGGTACACCCTAGGGTTGGGGTTTGCTACCAGACTTCTACCCGGACCGCGGCCGGAAGCAAGGGATGCATGGTGGTCGACGGGGAAGACAGCGAGGACGGGGCGTCGAGCAGAGTAGCGGACGGCCTTATTATACTACTGTAGGCGGTGTCGTGTACTGTATGTAGACCGATGCTCGAGCGTTGAAGTCAAGGGGGACGAGGTGGGGTACCCAGGGGGCAGTGTTGTGCCAGTTCCGAACTAGTTGATGAAAGTTCGGAGAACCGTCAACTTGTCAACTAGTTCCGTTTACTTTTCGATAACTTTCCGGCGGAACTGTGGCGCGAGCCTTGCCCGCCAGCAGTCCTCCTCAGTTCCCGTCCAGATGTTGAGTTCCCCGTCCATTCTGATTGCAGGAATGATGGGTTGCTTTCTATCGTCTTGAACTCATGTGCTTAGCTAAGGTTTTTCACCGTATATGGTAGTGGGTGGGAAAGTTCATCTCCGTGGGCAGGTTGACGAAAAGTCAACGGTTCCTAAACTTTGTAGAACTAGTTGCTTAGTTGACGAAACAACTTAACTAACTGGCGTCAACCGGCCCAACACTGCCAGGGGGGGCGTTCAGGTGGGGTGGCAAAATAAGGTTTTCAAGACCCCCTGGTCTCGCGTCTTAGGGCGTAGTCCCAAGTCTAAGGGATCTCGCTTTTGGCGTCACTCGGGTGATCTCGAAAAAGCCTCAGGAAATAAATGTGCCGGCCACCAACGGAGAACACATCACATGACCGTGGTCCCGGATCGCCGGCCATCATTGCTTCCTCACTTCTCAATCGAACGAACAGACGAACGGACGAACGAAATAAGAATTGAGCAGCACTGGTGGCAACCAGTCTGTCAAACTATCACACACTGCAGAGATTCCGGTTAGAGGAGCATTGATGTAGATATCGACCATGCGTCTGCTTTTGTTTTTGGTTGATTATTGACTCTCACTCATTCTCGCCACTCTCAATCTTCAAGTTTCATGCATATGAACGAAGAAACGTTTCGCATGCCTCGGGGCGTTTTTGTGACGCCGCACATTGTCCATTCTGTAGAAGAGTGGCCTGCTCCTGTAGCTGGGATCCGCGATGCGTTGTGCGAGGCCGAAGCGCATGCCAACGTGAGTCTTTGTAGCGCTCTCGCTACCCATCAGCTCACACAAAACTGGAGGTCGACTACTCAAACTCAAGCGTTGTGCGCGCGATAGAAACTGCTTTGGAAGAGGGGTATGAATCCATGCACGACCGCCTCGATGTCGAAGCCAGTCTCCGTCACCTGGGACCGGAGACGAAACAGTTTGTACTTGGACCGTTGGTTGGAAAGATACTCAGCTGTTTCCTTCCTGAGATAAGCATTAAGTGCGCTTCTATCTAGCATTCCAGTGAATCTCGCTGATTATCGCTGTACAGCTTCGACACAAGATACGCAAGAGCTATTCATCCCTGTTACTCGAGCACCTCTGCTGCTCGAATTTTGCCTGGTGTCGGTCGCGCAACATCTATTGTTACGCTACCCGTCCACATCCAATGGCAGCGCATGGACAGCACACCAGATGAAGTATCTATGCAGGTGGACGACCCAGACGTCAATGCTGATACTTACATGCACTCGCCAGAGCGGGCTTGCTGTAACGAACCCCTGGCTCCACTTTCTCAACCCCGAGCTAGCCCTAACGGCAAGACGTGTGCTATTCCTCGGCCTTCTGAAAACTCGTACGGGAGTAGCGTGTGGCTGCGACCGGATGATGAACTTCATCCCATCTCTCATGCCCATCTTCTGGTACCACGTCGATCTCGGGTCGATATACCCTTTCCTATTGCATGTATCGCGCCCCATGACGAGATCTACGAGCTTCTCTCTAGCGCGGTCTTTCAAAAGCACGTGCTCGGAGTAGGCCAGCCGATGCTTGGCTTCACTTTCGATCCGATGGAAAGCTATTTGCAAGTTATTGTGGCGTGGTTGTCGCCTCAGCGTATGGACGATCATGAATGCGTGAGTACACAGGACTCGTCGATTGTCTCTGCGCTGAGTCGCCTGGCAGGTCCAGGTGCACATTGCCCACGCACCGCGAGGTTGGAATGATCATCCTGCAACGAAGCTAGGCATTTTTGATATCTCATCACTTGCATCATCAGAGGACCTCGCCATATTCCTGTCGGTGCAACAGCGCATCCTGGCTTCGATTGTTGATATGGCTCAAGCTTATGCGCCTATGCTAGGCTCGACTTTGCTGTCTTCCAACATCTAGCCGTGGCGCGTGACCCTGATCGAAGATGATAAACACTCCGAGGGTGGTTCTCGAGAGCATGTTGAGCGATGGCTTCGAGACAGTTTGTAAGCACTGATTGATTCTCGATAATAGTAACAGCCTTATATAGAACGTACTGATGTTGCACGCAGAGGGCGCTTGATTTCACCAGCCATGTCGGATAGGTGAGCTCCGCCTTGCCCGAGCCTTTTTGCCTGGTACTGACATTGAACAGCAATCGTTTTCTCTCGCCTCCGAGCCAGAAGACGCGGCGTTCGGGGTCTATGGGCAGGTATGTCCAATCATTCCGCCCGATTGAATGGATCCTTATGTTCTTATAGCGCTGTTAGCTCAAGGTAAAACTCACAGACATAGTTGTAACTTACTGTGCTCATCTATGTATTCCAGCCCCTCCTTCCTGCAGTAAGTAGCAGACCATGCTTGCCCAAGAGTTACTCATTCTCGTAGTGCTATTCCGAGCAGTATCCCAGCTGCCCGTGCAAAAGAAATCAGAAATGAGGTCCGAGATCGGATGTATGTACAATGTATACGATATCTCTAACGTTGCTGAACTGAATGATTAGTGATGAGAACGCTGTGCTAAAGTCAGGATTTGTTGCACCTGTACCGACTGGGCACTGGTGCTCATACAGGCGCTTGTGGGAACGAGGTCGCAAGCTTAGTGCATCCCAGTACGTCCGCCTACATGGACTTGATGCCTTCTTGATGACATCATATTGCAGAGCAGCAAAGCCGTCACGAGAAAGGAAGGCATATGACTTACCCGGAGAGATCCTCTATGATCGGCGTGTCATATCGACTGTATGGCCGTCTACCGTGGTTGACGTGCCATCAAACTGGCCACACAGCTCAACATTTATCGACATCTGGAAGATGCTGTTTTTGCGCTCGTTGAGCACGACTGACAAAGTGAGTTCTCATGTATGACGTCAATGAATGGGCTGATGTCTATGAATAAGGAATGGTTTTATGGCACATTTAAGTTTTCGGACGTGAAGTTCAGTCTGCCCGAAACCTCTGGGCCACATGCGCATATGCAGAAAGGCTCAGCAAAGTCTGGCGACAATCCCCAATCCTTTCTGAGTGTAGGAAGTACGCAAGAGTACTATTTCTCCAAGGTGATCACATTCAATTTCCCGTCATGTGTTCCGTGCTTATGTGGCTGTACTAGCTGGACGAAGACAGTTTCAGGGCTTTCCTCAACTTCCAGAACGACCTTGAGTACGAGAAGGCCCTGCGCCATGCCACCTCTCTCTCTCCGCTCCTTCCGATCGGCCCTGAGAATCTCGACACATTTAAAAGGGTCGTACCCACGATCTGCTCAGCTTCAGATGAAGCGCGTGCCCTTCGAGAGTGTTTGGGTGGCAAGAAACCGAATGAAGCTGAATGTAGACTCATGTGGGACAAGATCATTAAGGTCATATTTCCAGGCGTCACGACCTTTGGTGATGGTTCATTCACTGATATGACGTACGTGAGCAAGTCTTGATGCGCAAGGCTCTGACTGAAAGATTATAGGATGGAGCGTCCCGTTTCCGCATCACGCAACCTGATCTCCGACGCGGTACTCGGAGGGACGTCTTCCTTCCACGACTTGAAACTCGAGTACAGGGACTTGCAGTCGGGGTCTGACGATCGATCAGCACGAGAGGTTGTGTGGTCGAGGTTGCAGGTCACTCCCGAAGCTGCTGATGGAGAAGCTCATGATGCGGCTCGTGCTCTGCGCGAGATTCTCAAACAGGAGAGTAACCGGGGCGATGGTGTCCTGTCCAAGGCCCTTGTGGATCGGATATTCGAACGTGATGATTCTGTCGCTCGGTGGAACAAGAATACCGAGGACGATATAGACATCAAAGCCCGAGTATTGCACAGTTACAATCTGGGTGTCTGCGATACTTTGGTGCTTGCTGGCGCACCCTTCGTCTTTCCGGAAAGCAATGCTGCCTTGGTGAAGGACTTTTCAGTCATACAGACCGTTTACGATGCGCAAAAGCAGCCTGACGCAACTTCGACTTCAAACGATGACCCGGAGACAATTGCGGTGGACGTTGAAGAAGCTCCTGAGACCGGATCTGGTGCGGAGGCGCCGGGGACGAATACAAACTCTGCTGTTCAACTTCCTCTTGCCCCTTCTTCTATGCACTGCGTTGTCGCCTTGGCGAAACAGGCAATTCCGTGAGTCCTTTCCACATGACCGTACTTGTGATTGGTCTGTTGTCGACTGTTAGCTGACACACGGATTAGCCCATCCCTGTTTGGGGCGATGATAGGCACTAACACACGACAACACCAAAGACCAAAAGAAATAAAACCTAAAACACCCAGCGGTATGGGTGTAGGCGGTCTAAGGCGATTGAAGGGTAATATTTAAGTTCGAAGGGAGGGGGAGAAGTTAGACGCCGTAGGGTAGCCCGTAGGAAAACCTAAAACAAACAAAATCTTGAGGCCTGAAACAAACAGTATAGCGATTCTCCGGAGTATTTATCTCCGAAGTTCGACAGTAACCCGGGTGGGGAGTTCCACTGAACCCGAACAATAGTCTCGTGCCTACAGACGCTTGGTGAATTTTATACTTTAAATCCGGAGCTTACTTGGATCGATATGCGATGGCGGAGTTATCTAGTTTCGACGAGTCCGGCCTATTGGCAAGGCTAGGATTGATTGTAGACGCTAAGTCCGACGCGAAGGGACTCCGAGGGTCGCTGAGACGATAATTCTGGTACGCTGAGGGAGTGAAGTACAAAACTTGGATTTTCCACTACGCTCTATACATTTTTATGCTATTGGAATGGTTTTGCGTCCGCCCGGAGTTAAATAACAAATA